AGGAGCTCGTGGTGGCAGAAGGGAAGAACAATCCAGTGGGCTTAGTGCTCAAGTTGATCGTGTTCGTGATGGGTCCGCTGTTGACCATGAGGAAGGCCAGCCAGAGCATGTAAGAAGAGACATGCTGAGGCTGCGTGGAAGGCAAGCTTTACTTGATTTGCTTTTGAGGATTGAAAGGGAAAGACAGGGGGAGCTTCAGGGTCTTTTAGAGCATCGTGCAGTTTCTGATTTTGCCCATCGCAGTAGGATTCAGGTTAGTTTCTAATCTTTATCCCTTTATTCTTCATCCAGTTTTCATCTTCTATTTTACTTACGGAATCCTCAACAGAACTCATGATTTAATTGTCCATTTGTGCATTATGTTGTTTGTCCTTTGTTAATTGTGAAGTTTGACATTTTGAAGTTGAGAATTGAAATTACAAAGATATTCACTGTCTTGAAATGTGCTTGGTTTTACTTTGTTCCTATTAGAGGTAGATACAACTAGCCTGTTTGAGTGTTGCCGGCTGTACTGGAGGTGTCTTTGAACTGACTGTCAGCTAATTTTTTCTAGAGTTGTTGCTTACTTGCTTAGGTATCTCATTTTATACCCTTTTACAGTCACTACTCAGAGGAAGGTTCTTGAGAAATGAAGTGCCTGCTGAGGAAGAGAGACCACCTTCAATGGCAGCAAACGAATTAGTTCAGCTTAGGCAACGCCACACTGTCTCTGGGCTCAGGTATATGGCCTGGTTTAGTTGTGTTTTGCTGCAGGATTTGTCTCAATAATTGAAATTTATTACTTGTTGAAGCTTGTCCTATGTAATAAGTTATCAAATGTCTTTTCCCGTGCTGCATACTCTTTCAGTTTTGCTGTAGGGCAGTAACATCTGGTCCAATTAACTTCTGCAGCTGTCAGAATGATTCATGTGTTTATAAAATGATGGATAGTACCCTCAAGTATGATCATATCATAGTAACTTATTAAGGTTCCAGCATTACCAACTAGGTTTTTGTGCTATCATCCAGTTTGTTGATAGCCAAGGCTAAGAGCCCGTTTGGCCAAGCTGCCAAAAGCTACTTATTTTGAGAAGTACTTTGTTCAAAAGTGCTTTTCGAATAAGTATTTTTTGAGAGTAGCAGTTTGTGTTTGGCCAATTTATTTAAGAAGTGTTTTTTGCTATATTTAATAAGCAAATTGTGTTTGGCGAATCCCTTCAAAAAGTACTTTTGAGTTTTGAGTATCAAATTACAAAAAAAGGACAATATCAATATTAATTTTACAATTAGTATAAATTAAAAGAGAACTTTTTAAAATATTTATTGTAAAAGAATTTAATTAATTTTTTATTTTTATTTAAATAAATATAATTTTTTTATCTATTAGGAAGTATTGCATTTTTTCAATTATAATATATGCATGCATGCCAAAAAGAAATAGAAATAAAACTACAAACAAGAGATCATATAATATACAAAAGAAAAACAAAAATCATATCTTGTGAAGCGAATGTTTGAATCTAGTGATTAGCCTTGTAAATTATTTCAAAGAGGAATAGGAGACGAAGAAAAGAAGAAACAACAGAATAAAAAAGAAAGAGATTTATTTATAGTAGAAGGACTATTCCAAAGAGGATAGTAGAAGGAGAACAAAAATACGCCGAAATAAAAAAGAGAAGAAAGGGATGGTAGAAACAAAAAAAAAAAAGAAAAGAAAAAGGTTAAATTAATGAGGGATAATTTGGAAAATATAAATTCATGGTAAGGATATTTTTGTCTTGAAAAAAAATTAATTTTCTGCTTCTGCTTTTTTAAAAAAGCTAGAATTTGCAGCTTCTTTCCAAAAGCAGAAAACTGCTTCTACTGCTGCTCAAAAACACTTATCCGTTTTGGCTAAACATCTCATGTGGTGTATTTGGGGACACGTTAGGTGATCTTACTATTCTCATCTGAATTCAAGTTGAGTTATTTGGCTATTAAATTTTATTGCTTGACTAATGTCATTGAACTGTTGTGTCTAAGATCGCTTAGAACTCAAAAATACTGCAGTACAGGCCTATAGATGTGTTCAAGTATGGTCGTTATTTGTTTATAAGGATTACTTTGGTTGTTTTCCCCTAAAAGCTGCTTGTGAATTGGTCTCTTGGTCTCTCTGCACATTTCAGTTCTTTTCTCCTTTTCTGTTGGCCGNATCATAAGGTTATATACATGAAGCACAAAGATTGTGCCAAAATTATACACTATTCAGTTCTCTTACAATTACTGTAGGAAGCTGAGAAAATCTTTCATCTTATCAACTGTATTAACATCTTCTAGCCTACACCAAAACCCCAAAAAAGGGAATACATCTGTATTACAGAATATAAATGTTGTCATATTTGTTTTCAAGAAACATCTTTGGTTCCTCTACCTCCAAATCACCCACCAGACATGCAGGAATGGTCTCCCATATCTTCCGCTTCCCTTTCCCAATGTCCTTGCTAGTCCAGCATTATAGCAGTTACTCAATATTTCTCACCAAGGTATTGCACCTGAAGTCATCCCCCAGACTTCTAATGTACTTCCATACACTTACTCCATAAGTCGACTTGTTTGTTTTATTGCACCAATTATTGTCCATCCCATACTTCTTGGTTACCACCATCTTCCAGAGAGAACCTTCTTTAAGATTAAATCTCCAGAACCACTTCAATAGGAGATCTTTTTGTTATGATATCTGAGATTTCAGAATGTATTGTGTTCTTCCTTTTTTATTTTTTATTTATATGTTGTAGTACTGTATAAGCTATCAAAGAGATTATTGCGGTCTTTCACTCATTAAGAACTCAGGCGGATTGATCTCAAATTAGGCATGTTAACTGTGGCTAAAAGGGAGTTGAGGTAATTGAATGCGGACCTTTTGTGAAAATAAAATGAACTAGAGGATAAAGTAGCTTCGACGAAACCACCTTTAGTTTGATAGTAATGTTTTATAGATCTTAGTTTGAATGCCACAATGTATTTTTTCTTTCTTATATGATGCTTGTAACATTGTTTAGTAATTATTTGATTATGCATATCTTAAAAATGGCCCGCTTAGTGTGAATTCTCCTTTTTGGAATTTCTAGAAGCAGACAAAGAATCCACATTTTCATTTTCTGCTTTATTATGGAGCTTTAATCTTTGAAAAGATTTTCTGCTTTGTGTTTCCTGCTTCATCTTATCCCTTGCATGAGATGGCTACCTAAGTGATTTTACATTTCCCAGACATAATTTGCCCTGATTCTCAGCTTTCTGTACTTTTGTGAAAGAATCTGCATTTATAGCTATTTTTGCAAAATGATAACTTTTATTGTGTTAATGCATGACTTCTTGTTCTTTTATCTCAACCAGGGAAGGATTCCGCTCCAGATTAGAAAACATTGTACGTGGTCAAGTAAGCAGCAATTCTGAATCTTCATCTAACAGTGGCAACGGTGGTTTGAGAAATAACCAGACTCGTACAAATCCTTCACAGGAGGTACAAAACGAAAATCTTGAGCAGCTGCAGTCTAGGGAACAGGAACGGAGTACTCATCAGTTGCCTGATCACAGAGAGAATGTTGATTCCACTACAGCTGGTCAGGCTACAAATCAGCTAGCATCTCCTAACCAAGGAAGGCGTCAAGTGGAACCTGTTGTTGAAGCTGAGGGAGGAAATCACCGCGGTGCAACTTCTAATGAACGGACTCGTGGAACTATGGAGAATACAAGTGGGAATTGGCCACAAAATCAACCAATTGCTTGGCCCCCTGAAACAACAGGTGAAGTGAACAGAGATGAACTCCGTTTACCAGAAAATCATGAGGTTTGGCATGAGGATGGGTCACGAGAAGCTGTGGAGAATTGGTCAGAAGGGCCTTCTGATCCTCCTAGAATGCGGCGTTCTGTCCCTTATAGGAGAGTTAGTAGATTCCATCCGCCCGATGATGATAATGTGTATAGTATGGAACTCAGGGAGCTTCTTAGCAGGTAAAATGCATGTGTCATTCTGTTTTCCCATCTGTGCTTATGAGGTCTTCTTGTTCTTTATTTGTTGAGATTCTTTGTCTGGTAGGAGGAGTGTTTCCAATCTTCTTCGCAGTGGCTTCCGCGAAAGTTTAGATCATTTAATTCAGTCATATGTAGAAAGGCAAGGCCGCACTCCAATTGAGTGGGATATGCATAGGAACTTGCCTATTCCAAGTTCACCCGAAAGAGATCAGGACCTACAGAATGATGAGAGAAATGTTGCTCAACCGGAAGGAATTAGCAGGCCTTCACTTGTGCGACCATCTCCTCCTGAACCTCCTCCACAACCACTTTGGCATCAGGATGTGCACCAGTCTGCTTGGCCACGTCACACTGTGCATCGTTCTGAACTTGTAAGCTTACCAGCCCTTCCTAGAAGCTATTGTTAGATGTCCTGATAATTTTTCCAGTTGATAGTGATACCTTAAGGCTATGCTTCCCTTCCTACATCCTTTCACAACTTAGAATCTTACATTCTTTATATGCTGGTAAGAAAAGCATCTAATTTAGTATGTCTCCAATATGAACAGAATAATATTCTGTTCATTACAGTATCTATAGTAGTTACATCCTATCAAATTGTCCCACGGTCTTTATATGTTCCATAAAAGAATGATTTCAGTATATTTATGCTGCTTTATCCGGAACTGAGCGCATTCTGTTCTGGAGCAGGAGTGGGAGGCGATGAATGATCTTAGAGCGGACATGGGAAGACTACAGCAAGGTATGAATCACATGCAAAAGATGTTGGAGGCCTGCATGGATATGCAACTGGAGTTGCAACGTTCTGTCAGACAGGAAGTTTCAGCTGCTTTGAATAGGTCAGCTGGCGGACAAGGTCTGTCTCTCATCTACGGCATACGATAAAACATTGAAGCTCTTATGATTGTCGTACCTCCTCTAACCCATTTATCTGTTTCTCTTCAACATCAGTTAATTTCTTCTGATTGGGTTTTTACCTGCAAATTTATCACAGGAATTGCTGAGACTTCAGCCGATGGATCTAAATGGGGCCACGTGAAAAAGGGTACTTGCTGTATTTGTTGTGATAATCACATTGATGCCTTGTTGTACAGGTAAATTTTTTGTTATGCAGTTTCATGTACCTTGCAGCAACTACTTTAAAAAGTACAATTAATGAGTCTTATTGAGTGATATAACAACGTTGTGTTCAAGATCTTTTGATAGTTAATGCTTTCTTTGTATTTTGGCAGATGTGGGCACATGTGCACTTGCTCCACATGTGCAAATGAATTGGTCCGAGGTGGAGGGAAGTGTCCATTGTGCCGGGCACCCATTGTTGAGGTGATCCGAGCTTACTCGATACTCTAAAAAGAAAGGACAGGAAGCTCAAGAAAAACTGAGAAAAATTGGTAAGTTATAGAGGAGTTGTATGCTCCCTCTTGCCGAGCTTCTTAGATTCCTTACTTGTAGAGTGCTTACTTGCCTCTGTTCTTCTGATTATGTGGTTACGCGCTGTATAGTTGGGATAACTACCGGCACTGTTATAGCATCATTCATTCGTAAATGAAGGTTAATTCTTTTCCAATTAATGACTTATTCTGATTTTGTTCTTTTGTTTTTTTTTCCTTTTCCTTTTCCTTTTTTGGATTAAGCAAGAAGCACCGATTTCTTTTCCTTTTTTATTCTAGTTATATTATATTTTTGGCTTAAAACTAGGTGAAGAGAGAGTATGTATTGGTTTATAGGGCAGTGGTTCTCGCTGGTGCTGCTGCTGTTTACAGGGAAAAAGAAGGAAACGGCATTGGGAGGTTCATGAACTATTCATAAGTTCGAATATCATCTCTAAAACTTTGATTTGCAGTTTTATTTGAAATAATGGTGATCTTTTACGATTAATTTTGACCAATTGTCATCAGATAACTAAGTGTCGAAATGATAAAAATTGATCAATTTACGTATGAATAAATTCAATTTTCAACCGCCCAATCGACATTAGCCTAGTCATACATAAATTGATCATTGGTCATTATGACGACTACATTTTTTGGTTGAATACCTACCATAGACGTTGAGTAAAGTTTTGCATTGTTTCGTTTTGGAAGTCAAACTAATAACATCAGGAATGAGAAGTGCACAAATTCGTGTTTGAGGAAATATATTTAAAACTGAATAATGTCATGGTTGTTTGGTTGTTTTATAGTTCTCTGTCATGATCGTTGGTCAACATCACGAGTATAATTCTTTGGTTCAATACCTATCATTAATTATGAGTAAGTTTCATAAAGTTTCGGTTTAGAAGCCAAAGTAATATTAGTAATAACGTTAAGAAAGACAGTGTGCTATTTCGTGTTTAAGGATTTTTTCTTAAAACTGAGCAATGTTAGTGATTGTTGTTCAGTGCCACCTTGACTTCAACGGAAATGAGAGACAGGAAGATTTATTTTGGTCTAAAATAAAGGATTTTGGAAAGACTCTTTATCACTACGAAGTGGTGCGTAATGACGTTTGATTGGACTAAGTTGACGGACAAAATTTTTACACCAAATCATATCAAGTGTGGTTGAGTGATTCACTGATGTGGAAATACATGGAATTAACCTTGATTAAGTGAATCTACTAGTTTTAATATAAATAACCGGTGTGAATAAGTTATTACCCTAAGTTGACAAACTACTCTTTGATGCAGAGGTTGATAATCTTTTCAATTCCGTTCCAATTAAGTTTGTCTTCTACTTTTAATTGTCATGTTTCGTGCTTTTTGTTACTTGTTGGAGGCACTCGAAAAAAATTTGCGCCGTTCGTTTCAAGTTTTGCCAAAAAATGCCACCTAAATTCTATTTTGGCTACTCTTGTGGGAGCCATCGGCCAGAAAAACAAAGAGAAAAAGATTCGAGCCTTCAAATATGGAAAATAGAGCAATTTATGCAAAATACCTATCGAGCTTAAAATAATTACCCTTCTTTATCCATTTGAAAATTATTTACAATATATACCTACCCAATTAAAATTAATTGCCTAACCTACCTACCCACCCATCCCAATTTTTTTTTACCCATTTGGCTTGGCTTAGCTTGGTTCGGCTTGGCTTGACTTGGTTCGGCTTGGCTTGAATTGACTTGGCTTGGTTTGACTTGACTTGACTTAATTTGGCTTGGCTTGAATTGGCAATTTAATAGCTTAGTCATTTGGCTGGGTTGAAAAAAAAAATGGGTAGGGGAAAACGGTATGGGTAGGGGCGGGTAATTATTTTCCATGCGATGGGTATTTACTAAACTAGGGGATTTGCATCTATACCCAGTTTTTGGGTCACATTTTAACCTATACCCGCTTTGCAAAAAAAATTGTAAGCATACCCACTTTTCGGGTAATTTCAGGCATACGGGCCTGAAGTAGCAAAAAATTATATCTGAAGTTTGAACTTCAGAATGTTTTGCTTGAAATATAGACTTATCAAAGCAAAACTTCAGATATTTTTGCATGAAGTTTGGCCTGACTTGCAAAGGCAATCGCACAAACTTCAGTTCATAGTACAATGGAAAACTTCAGTTCAATAATTGCTGAACTTCAGCAATTTTGGCTGAAATTTTTGTTTTGTAATTACTGAACTTCAACATTCTAGGAGCTAAAGTTTGTTTAGTATCTGCTGTACTTCAACATTTTAGGAGCTGAAGTTTATTTAGTATTTGCTGAATTTCAGTTCCTAGAGGATGCACTTCAGTTCAATAATTGCTGAACTTCAGCATTTTTGGCTGAAATTTTTGTTTTGTAATTGCTGAACTTCAACATTCTAGGAGCTAAAGTTTGTTTAGTATCTGCTGAATTTTAGCATTTCAGGAGCTGAAATTTATTTAGTATTTGCTGAACTTCAGCTCCTAGAGGATGCACTTCAGTTTAATAATTGCTGAACTTCAGCAATTTTGGCTGAAATTTTTGTTTTGTAATTGCTGAACTTCAGCATTCTAGGAGTTAAAGTTTGTTTAGTATCTACTGAACTTCAGCATTTTAGGAGCTGAAGTTTGTTTAGTATTTGCTGAACTTCAACTCCTAGAGGATGCACTTTAGTGCTTGGGTCCTTTTGGATAATATTCCAAGCAGTCAACTTGAACTTCCCATCGTCCATCCTCATACCAGGAAGGAAGGTATCAGTGGGTTCATCAAAACTTTGCCATAGTGGCTTCCCTGACAAATCATCAATTAAACAAAGTTTCCTGAATCCAAGAGCTTTGCTTTATGTGAAGAAGATGCACTTGTGCCTACTTGTGTTAAGAAATATGAGTTCCTTGATGAGTCCAACACTTTGAGATTACCATCATCAATAGCGATAACGAAAAGTTCAGTTGATAAAAATGGAATTGGGTAGTTTCTGTTGGCAACCCACACAACCATTTCGGGACTCACCTTGTACCATATGAATAATAGTATCATCTAGAGAAAAGAGTAATATCACCCGAAGAAGAAGAAGAAGGAGGAGGAGGAGAAGGAGGAGGAGGAGAAAGAAGCCTGAAATTGTTTAAAATGTGGGTACAAGTTAAAACTTTTTTAAAAAATGGGTATAGGTTAAATAAGGGCGACCAAATAGGGCGCCTCGTGCAATTTTTACTACTAAACTTTAGCATTTCTTCTACTTCAAAATTTTCTATGTGACTTGATTAAAGTTCACTATCGGATGCCCTCAACTTCTTGGGGAGAAGTTCTTTTTCTTTTTTATTTTACTTTTTTTGGATGCATCAAGTGGTTTAAATGAATATTGAGATTTAACTTCAAACTTGTTTGGAGTTGAAGTATATTTATTATTGTTGGAATCATCAAGTGGCCGTGCACGATATTGGCAATTACTAAACTTTAACTCTAATCACCTTGGGGCAAATTCTTACTTCTTTTTAGGCTGTGCTATTTTTTTCTTCTTTTCTTCAAGATTAATTAGAAATAGGAGATCTAAGTAACTTCGACCAAAAATAAAATAGAGTTAAAATTACTAAATTGCCAATATTAGTAACTAAATTGCCAATATTAGGAGATCTCATTTTCCATGAGATGAGTATTTTAAGCTTAATGAGTTTTTTTGCATAAATTGCTCCTTAGAGAACAGGCGGCTAAAGGCCCAAGCTGGTGAAGCACAAGGGCTTTAGGCCCCGTAAGTTTGGAGGCCTAATTTTTTAGTAATTTAGGTTTATGTAATTTTTTTAAAAAAATATTGAGTTTAATATAAAAAGTACAATGTTTTTATGAAATAGGAAAAGAACTTTACTTTATTACCGATGTTAATCATTAGCATATTTAGGGAATATTGTAACGATTCGGCCGGTCGTTTTGACAGTATTAGCCCTAATACCCTAATTATTGCTCACTCTATTTTATTTTGTGGTTATGTGACTTGTCAGGGGCGTTTGGTGTCGGGTTCGGGAGAGTTTCGGAGTGGAATGGGACACATAATCCCTAAATTAGAAGTTTAAGTCGTAGGAGTTGGCCGTAGTTTAACTTGTGTGAAGACGACTCCGGAATAGAGTTTTGGCGGTTTCAATAGCTCCGTATGGTGATTTGAGTCTTAGGAGCGTGTTCGGATATTGATTTGGAGGTCCATAGGTCATTTCAGCATTAATTGGCGAAAATTAAAAACTTGGAAGATTTTGAAAAGTTTGACCGGGAGAAGACTTTTTGATATCGGGGTCAAATTTCTATTTCGAAAGTTGGAATAGGTCCGTAATATCAATTAGGACTTGTGTGCAAAATTTGGGGTTAATCGGAGTTGTTTTGGTATGAATCGGTGTTGGTTTCAGAATTCGGAAGTTCATAAGTTCTTAGGCTTGAATCGATGATCCGTGATTCTAGTGCTGTTTGATGTGATTTGACGCTTCGAGCGTATTTGTATGATGTTTTAGGACTTGTTGGTATGTTTGTTTGAGGTCCCCGGGGCCTCGGGTGTGATTCGGACCATGTTCGGTGCATTTCGAAAATTTGAAGAATTTCTGAAGTTGCTGGTTTTTCTTAGTTGTGGTGTTCTTCTATGCGTTCGCGATGATGATCCCGCGTTCGCATAGAGTCTTGATAGATTTGCTGGATGTTTACCCTTCGTGTTCGCGAAGATGGCCACGTGTTCGCGAAGGGCAGGACTCGGTGCTCTGCGATCGCGGACTGGGTTACGCGTGCACGATGAGGAAGGCAGTCTGGGGTGAGACTCACGCGTTCGCGTTCGCGAGAAGGGCTTCATGATCGCGAATCTTGAGAACCCTTGGTCACCGCATTTATGAGTGGACCCCGCATTCGCGTAAGAGGAAATCTGGGCAGTAGCATCTTTGTGCTTCGCGAACGCGAGGAATTTTCCGCATTCGCGAAGAAGGAATTAACTGGGCAACATGCTTAAATTTCAAAACGAG